CTGCTTCGTGATCAGGCACGGGGGTACCTGCGCAGTATTTTCTACAGGCACCTAAGGGATGGGTTTCTGAAGTTTGGGTTTTGTGCTTTGTTTTCTTAAGAATAAAGGACCTTTCCAGCTGTGACCTCCAAGTGCCACCTTTCTCCACAGTGGGCATTTCCACGATGCAAAGGCGAGGCTTTGGATCTTAGAAAACACCTGCCCTGTTCACATTTGGGCTGACAGCGTGGTGAGGGCAGTGTACTGGCCAGGCTTCAGTGGGCCCTGGGGACCTTCGGGATTTGACACCCGCCCACCCCACGCCCCAGGACTGAGTCCAGTCTGCTCACTAGGCCTCACAGCCGCCACCAATCCCACCAGGCGGCTCCTTGGCCTGCAGCTGGCACTCGCCCACCAGAGGGATTCCAGAGAGCCCAGCCTCGTCTTTTCCTGGGGCTGCTCTTAGCACTGAATGCCCTTCCCCTGAGCTCAAGGTTCCCAGCGAGGCCGACACACCTGTCCGTGATTTACTGGAGGAGAGGGGATTTAAAACAAGAGCTTCGTGGTTCAAGGCCCTTATCATTTAACCTTCCGGAAAACGGCAAACTTGTTTTTTCAAGACTCATTGCTCAGGTGATAGAAACTTTCTCTTCTCCAACCTTTACATTCTCAGAAACCAGCTCTGTGGACTCGACTGCCCCAGGCCGCGCGTGGCAAGCTCTTCGGGTTCACGGTGTGTGGAAGAGCGGAGTGGGGGTTGGCAGGGAAGGCCCCGGTAGGGGGTCCATGTTGTGTTCTTTCTTACCCCCTTCTGGAATGCCAAAGGCATGATACTGGGGGCCCTCTGGGTCCCCGATAAAATGTGATTTATTCTGAGGGTAAACTGCCCATGGCACCCGAGCCCCCAGCCGGCTCCATACTCCCAGCAGAAGCTGAGTCCCGGGTGTCCGGCGGTACCCAGCGGCCCTGGATGCTCCTGGCCCCAGAATCCCACTTTTCTCGATCCGCCTGTTGTTCTAGAGGACGTCTGGACCCGCAGCCTCGGCAACAGGACGCTGTCCCGGCTGCCTCTGGACGAGCGACCCTGGAGACTCTGGCCTTACCATGTGGAAATCGTTTTCCTGAAGTCCGGAACTAATTTTGAGAAGTTTTTTTTCTCAACACTTTTGTGTTTCTAACACTGTACTCTTGACTGTGTAAATACCAACAAGGCTGTAAATACATGCAGATGTAGATACCTTCTAGAAAAAAAACAAACAAAAAAGCATAAAAACAGAACCAGAAGTGATCCCGTGTAGCCTCGTTGACAAATAAAAGAATATTTTGTGTTTAAAACTGCCTGGTGGCCGTTGTTTGGACAGGGAGCCTAGCGGTGACCTCTTGCTCTGCCCACGTGGGAGCCAGTGCTCAGAGCCTGTGCTTGCTGCTGCTGCCTGGTACCAGGGGTCCTGGGAGAAGGCTTGGGTTCCTGGTCTCAAAGCCTCAAGTGGGGGGTCGGGGGTCGGGGTGAAGGGCGGTGCTTCTCCTCACCCCTGGATGAGACTAGGTCTGGGTGCCCAAAGATAACAGCTGCGTGCCTGTCCCAGACCCCTGCTGTCTTTGCTGACCTCAGGGACAGACCCCACAGACCAGGAGAGGCTGCTTGGCACTGCCCTGAAAAGCGTCTGCTTCCACTTAGGCATGCCATGCTATCCAGTGCCCATGTGCCCTGTGGGCCACAGCAGATGAGTTTTACACAGCAACGAGTGCATCTCCATCCTAAGAGCACAGAACAACATTTAGGAAGGGAGAAAATCCTAAGTCCCACCACCCCAACACCACCATCTAGCACTGGGCCTGGCTTTCATGTTGCTCCTCCGGCGCGTCCTTAAGCTCACCTATTCCCTTCTTCTACCCTCAGGTCCAGTGCAGTCACCGCTGCATGATTTCCCACTGGGCTCCTTTCCACCTGACCTCACATTGAGCCTTTCAGCCCCAAGAATCAAGGGTGACAGCTGGTGGCTTAAGGGAGTGCATTTGCTAAGCCCGGCTCCCTGGTATGAACTGCAAACCTTCAGAGCATTCTAGTCACCGTCGTCGTCGGGGACAGAAGCGAGAGGAAAAGGGCCCCTCACTCTCGACAGTCTCAGGACGCCCTGCCCG